AGCCCACGTTGCCTTCTTTCGGCGAAGTATGCCGCTCATTCAGATATATACTTTCTAAATTCGTCTTATCTCAAGTTAGTTTTTTAGTTTCAGTGAGGGTTGTATTGCACTTGCAACACAATAAGATCCCATAATTGCCGAAGACTACAGGTGTTAAGAGAAAGTAACAAACACAAAAAAGATGAGGAGATCAGGGCGATAGATGTCTGATAGGAAAGAAGGAGTAAACCACACCGAAGCACCTGCCAACCACCCACAGTCAAGTCATACCGTTCGTGCTTCTCTCAAGCTCCCCCCCCCTCCCCCCTCCCCCCCACACACATTGTATGTTATGGCTGCCTACCGTTAACATCTTCCATCTCCAATATATAACTAATCACTTTTCTATTTAAAAACAGAACAATATGATCTATAGCAGAGGCACACGTAGACAAAACAATTTTTTATAAGCTCTGGTAACTCACTTTGTCCAAGAGAGCGTTTTTGATGTCCACCATCCACTGATTGCTGATGCTACCACCGAAACCATGAATGACAAACTTGGTGGGTTTTGAGCCGCTGAAGTGGGCACTGGTCAAGGAACTTGCGTCATCGTACTTCAGGTCGTGGCCGTTGATCTTGTCCCGACGGGTGAACAATCTGAACGATACAAGAAAGAAGGAGATGTTGGTCGCTCACCCTCTCTCTCTCTCTCTTTATTTCTCTCTCTCTCTCTCTCTCTCTCTCGTTCTCTCTCTCTCTCTCTCGTTCTCTCTCTCTCTCTCTCTCTCTCTCTCTCTCTCTCTCTCTCTCTCTCTCTGTCGTCCTCTCTCTTTCCTTCCCACTATCTACAGGGTGATCCCCCCAAAAAACTTTACAACTTGTTTTGTAAATATCTTCCTCCATACTGAAATTTTGCGTTTCAGATTTGAACATAACGTTTGGAAGCCAAAAGAAATTTGTCTGATATGTATTTTAGATAAGTCCATTGAATGGTTTTGCTTTATATAGCGCATTAAAAAAAACAATCCAATTTCAACCTTGCCGCCATTTTCATAGCATGGCGCACCAGTTCACATTAGGCCTATCACTAAAAGTTGCAACAATCGCGCCATATTGCAAGCTACAGCAGTCTAACAAGTCAAATGAAGTCTGCAGATATTATTTTTCCTAAATTGTGTTTACCTACAGAGATCATGGCTACGTTTAGTAAAGAGCAGAGAGCTTTTTGTATTGAACATTACCTCTCCACAAAGTCACCATCCCTGACATTTTGCAAGTTCTGCGCTCGGCATGGAGAGAATGCTTAGGTGCCCTCAAGACCTTAGACGTCATGGGTAGAGAAGTTCCGTCAGTTTGGATCTATAGCGAATCAGAACTAAAAGTTCTTTTTAAAATGACCATTTCAGGTCGAACACGCACCATGCGCAGCCAGAGTGCAGATTTCTGTAGCCGAGTCCCATGAGACGTCTGTCCGTAGACGATCTGCAGCTAGGACTTTCCTAAGCATCAACAGTCTGCATTCTCATGGCAGATCTTGACCTACGACTATACCATGTTCATCTTCGCTAGGCCGAGATGACATGGTTCAGAACATGGCAATGTGTTCATGATTCGTCGATTGTGTTGTAAAGAGGGATCATTTCCTTGATGAGATTAGGTTTAGTGCAAAGCCCATTTTCACCCTGCGGGATATGTTAACTCTAAAAATGCCTTCTATTGGGCACCCCGCTCTATTGTTTCTCGAAGCCACTTCTTAGTGAACATGTACAGTGTATGTGGCTTTAAAAACTCATGGTTTAGCAGGTCCTTGTGTTAACGCGCCGCTGAACATTTTTAACGACGCGTTAAAAATGTGTCGAGTCCAAAGGAGAGAATGTGGAGCACTGCTTCTAGGAATTTCAGAAAGAAATCATTAGGTTTTTAAAACTCTGTAAAAAATTTAAACATTGTTTAAATGTCACAGGGATGGAAAATTAATGTCAAAGAGAAAATAAAGAAAAAGGTCTACTAATCTTTTCACGACTTCCTTTACAAGATTTTAAACATTGGTGAACTTTGCGTTTTTGGGTGCTTTTTTCTTTTAGCCGTTTTCGTTTTTAAAACATGTTTCTTCTTCGTGGAGTTTATATCAAACAAATTCCTTTTGAATGAATTATGTCTATTTCAAATTTCAACATTCTGAAACAATTTTTGCGCGAGATATTCAGAAAAAGGTTGTAAAGGTTTTTTTTGGATCACCCTGTATCTATCTATCTATCTATCTATCTATCTATCTATCTATCTATCTATCTCTCTATCTATCTATCTATCTCTCTATCTCTCTCTCTATCTATCTATCTATCTATCTATCTATCTATCTATCTATCTATCTATCTATCTATCTATCTATCTATCTATCTATCTATCTATCTAACCACCTATCTATGCGTGCGTGTTTATGTGTTTGCACGTGTGTGCATTTGAAAGTCTGAAAGAGCGAGAGAGCGAGTGTGTGTATGTGGTGTGTGTGTGTGTGTGTGTGTGTGTGTGTGTGTGTGTGTGTGTGTGTGTGTGTATGTGTGTGTGTGTCCATAAAATCCTCCTCTTCAGATGACAGGGCAAAGCCCCGGACACTGCTGTTTTAGAGCGAGCCGGAACCCCCAGCATCTACACCATCATCCACAAAACGTGAGCCAGATGGGCCGGCCACGTGATCAGAATGGCGGACAGCCGGTTGCCCAAACAGCTGATGTATGGAGAACTGCTTCATGTCAAATGCTCCGTTGGAGGGCAGAAAAAAAGGTTTCAAGGACTGCCTCAAAGTCTCACTAAAGGAACTTGGAATCCTGAACAACTCGTGGGAAACGCTGGCCCAAGATCGTCCCGCGTGGCGCTGCAATCTAACGAAGGGAGCCAAAGCAGCAGAAACCAAACGCATCGCTGAAGCCAAACAAAAACGCAATGTGCGAAAGTCTAGACCTGCCCTCACCACAAGTCCATCAGCTAACTACCCGTGCCCACATGTGGGCAAACCACCCGAGCCTGGATAGGCCTCATCAGCCGTATCCGGACCCACAGTCACCGTCAACAGACCAATTTGTGAAGTCATGGTCATCTTCATAAGCGAAGGATGAACAACATTGTGTGTATGTGTGTGTGTGTGTGTGTGTGTGTGTTTGTGTGTGTGTGTGTGTGTGTGTGTGTGTGTGTGTGTGTGTGTGTTTGTGTGTGTGTGTGTGTGTGTGTGTGTGTGTGTGTGTGTGTGTGTGTGTGTGAGTGTGTGTGTTTGTTGTGTGTATGTTTCAATGTGCACGGAACTGATTTTAGGGGGAGGGGCTGAAGATGACGGTTGCTTCTAATTTATTCGTCTGTTTTAGTATTGGCGGAAGACTGATCGGAAGAAAATACAAAGACGGAATCGTTTGTGCCTGCACACTTGCCCTAATTCCTTTTTTTTTTTTTTTTTGGGGGGGGGGGGTGTTAGAACAAACCTATATTCGAATCTTCAAAAGCCATTGCTTTGAATTGACAACAATCCTGTTTTTAAAAAAAGTTTTAGTAAGAGTTTCAGGGCGTTTACAACACAATAAGCCCATTTTTAGAATGCACCGAAGAGAGGCAGTTTGATCAAAGCTTAAGTGGAAACATTTCGGATTGTTACCGGTACAGGCTATTTTGCCTTTATTCTACAACAAATATGTCTGGTTTAAATGTTCACCTGATCTATGAAGCTTGGTAAGAAAAATGGTGACTAATAAATGGAAATCTACATAGACAATGACTGAGAGAAAGTGCAGCAACGTGTCGATTTAGACAGACTTTGCTGGCTGAAAGGAAGACTGACGAACACATCTGATGTTGTGAAAATGGTAGTTTTTATCGCCTGATCAGATAGCGTTACCTAAAGTTGATTGAGGTGTTGTCAAAGCTCTTTCGTTTTGTTACTTATTTTTCTGAAACAAACTCTTCAGCGGATAGGGTGGGGATTGAAACGTCAAACTCGACCTCAAACTTAAACTTAAAAACAAACAGAGCCAATAAATACTGAACCTGAAGACAGTGCCGACAGCTGAGGGTGAATTGGGAATTTTTCCTTGGGCGTTGTCATAAGGTGCTTTGTTGTCGAAGCATCCCAGGTTTCCGTAACACTCCTTGCGATAGGGTGCTGGTGTACTGTCGGCGCTCAGCGCCAGCGCGGCTGTTGAAGAAAATCAATGCCACTGTGTTAGGGCACGGTGGAATCAGGCATAGAGTTATTGCTGTCATCTTAACGTTTAATCATGTCTTGATTTGGGTGTAAAAAAGTACCCATCCATCTTAAAGGAAAGTTGAGATATTTGCGATTGAAGGAGCTAGGGGTAGCCTGGTCTCATAAGTATAATTAGCGAGAGAGCGGCCGCAAGAATTTGGTGACTCCCCCCAAAGCTTGAGTGCCTTTAGAAACTGCTAAAAATTTGTTTGGGGTTCTTTCTGTCTTTGATCAACATGTTTCAGTAAAAATCCGCACAAGAGCGTGTTTTTCAACGGACATAAAAAGTGTTGCGCCAAAACTAAGGGACAAAAATTGCCCAACAGGAGGAATAACGTCGGTTTCTTCGCTTTATTATTTCCATAATAAAAGCCTGGTTTAACCATGATGCCATAAAAATAAGTTAATTTAAAAAGAGACATTACCTTATGTGATCCAACATCAATTTGCCGAATGTGTTTCTCTTGTAATGTTGGTCATCTCATGGTTAGGCATTCGGAGTTACAATAGCTAGGTTGCGGGTAAGCATCAAGATGTGGGCCCTACTTCGTATCCCTTAGATTAGAAAGATACCTCACACACATCTTCCTCGCACCATTCTTGTGGGAATGGACAACCCGCTAAATGAGCGTAATATCTCGTCACTATGTTATAATAATTATTTTTGGAGCCCTCAAAATGGCAACTTGCATCGTACTCGTACCAAGTTTTCTGTCTTTTTTTCAATCCTCGACTATGTCTGTTACATTGAACAATTGTGTGCCGTTACATTGCACGCGGTTTTCCGTTTTCAATGGATAGGTCTTTTGTATTCAAATACAATTCTTAATTTTAAGTCGCCTGTAGGGCTCTATGAATGTGTCTTACTTGAAAATCCTTGTCCGAAATACATGTAGTCACGTGAAAAGCAAGACATTATGTTAAAGGTTTGACACTTAAAGGTCTTAAAAGGCACCCCGTAAAAAGAATTCTTCTTGGATCCCAGCAAAGCTAGCTAAAATGTTTGTTTGAGAACTGTGTGGGCCCCAACATTTGGAGCCAATTCTCTTTAACTGTTGGTTAGAGGCACTATTTTTTTAAATGTATTAATCAGGGGGATGTCGGGTAAAAGGACATGTCAAAAAATGAATGACTCCTCATGAATCGGAGGCCATAAAGCATTGACACGCAATGGGTGCATCGTTCTTTTTTTTCATCTTTTAATACTTTCTTCCTTGTTTGCTTTGAACAGTGCTGTTAGCTCTTTGTTATCGAAATGAGTAGTCTATGTCTATCGAGGCTATGGTTGTCTCTTTACATAGAGATGACAGTGGAGTCGGGTCGCCGGTTCCTGGTGAGTGACTTTGACGAAAACTTAACTTAGGGAGGCAATTAGATTTTAGAAACAAATCACTGTTTCATATTGATATATCAGGTTAGTTTGAAATCGTGCGAAAAATATACCAATAGAAATTAATAGGTATCAGTAAGTATACAAGGTCCCGAAACTGGGTGTTTTTTGTTTGTTTGTTAGTTTGTTTCTCTGCAATGTTTTATGACACTATCAACACAATTTGTTCATGTAAGCCCACCAACAGATTTTCCCCATCCTCGTGTGTGTGCGCGCACGCGCGCGCGCGCGCGCACGAGTGTGTGTGTGTGTGTGTGTGTGTGTGTGTGTGTGTGTGAGAGAGAGAGAGAGAGAGACAGAGAGACAGAGAGACAGAGAGACAGAGAGACAGAGAGACAGAGAGAAAGAGAGAGAAAGAGAAAGAGAGAGAGTGTGTGAGTGTGTGTGTGTGTGTGTGTGTGTGTGTGTGTGTGTGTGTGTGTGTGTGTGTCTGAGTGGGTGTTTGTGTGTGTCTTCTGCGTTTATCCAGTTATGCCGTCCCCTCTAAGAACAACGACACTGGTTTCCAGGGTGAAAGTAAGGACCGAATGTTTTTGAGTTTACTGTCAAATCTTGACCCAGGTAGAAGCAACGTGCTATTTAATTTTGTTTTAATTTATTGTCAATGGGATAGGGGCGAAGCGTCTATATAATCAAATAGTCACTGCTTCCCTTCCTAATTTTGAAACATTGTCGCTGTCAAATTCATCCTTAAACGCAAACCTCTTAAAATAAATGTAAAAAGACGTTCGTAATCAACAATGAACAGTATGCCTAACATTCAAAACGGTTTCACGGCCACAGAAATAACCTCCTCACCCCTCTCGGGCCACTCCATAAGCAGTCGCAAGCTTTGATTAAGTAAGCTTAAAGTGAGTCTGGAAGAGTCTACCAATAGAGTTGAAGGGAACATGTAGGCTACATAGCAGTCCAAGCTGTTTCATTGCCACATATAGGCCTACCCTGTTCACCCCTTTGGGGCCACAGTTATAATCAACCTCAAGCCCTGATTATGTATGCTAACTAACGCTGGTCGAGTCTACCTCACAAATGTGAGGGGAACTAACTCCTAATAATCTCTTGACTGCTGCGTGTGCTTGTTTTTTTCCCTCGACTTTTTACCGTCCTATAATCGGATCGTGACCTCGATTATGACGCCAGCTCCTGGCCGCGAAAGGCTAACAAAAACAGCCAAATGTGAAATTTAAAAAATGATAATTGTCATGTTCTACCAAAGAGTTAGACTTACAGTACTGGTAGATCTATAACATATAGATCTAGTACTGACATCTCTGCTTCTTTGCTTTGTGTTTATGTATTCACATCTAAAGTTAAATTCAATTTTAGTTGGAACTGATATTTAATAAGATACTTTCCCGATTATTTTGGCGGTTGAACACACAATATGAATTCCGGATTTGTTTTCATTCACAACTCAGAGTCGCCGCCTCGAGTAAGATTCTTGTGTGATATCTACAGGCCATATCTTGTCCCGTTTCACTTTGATTACCCTGTCAAACAAGTCAGCCTTCGCCCCTGCAATGGGGGGAATTCTAATGTTTCTGTTGTCGGGAAGTTTTCAAGATTTACCTGGCCAAGTGTTTCACAGACTCATTGTCATCAATTCGGACATGGCAAGGAAGCTAGTTCAGTATTAAATGTAGTTCAATCACAAGTTTAAGAATTCCAGTACCAGACATCAGAGGGACCAAGGCGCTCCAAAGAACATAAACAGAAGAAAGAGGCTGGAAGAAGGAAGAAGGAGATTTTGGGACTTTTTGAAATTATGTTCAATACTATTTCAAATGCAACTGCTTCAGCAGCATAGACTGAGATGATAATTATAATAGGCTGATTGTATACCTTTCGGTAGAGTTTTTTTTTTTCTTAGACTTCTTTCAGTGTTTGGTTTAGTTATTTGCCATAGAGGTATATCTGAAAAGGCAAAGTGTTCGACGGATATTTCAGAAAGCATCAATGTCTTTTAGATAGATTTGGGCTTCCACTTGTTTAAGGCGTAATGAGAGGTTTTTGAGGTCTTCGGGAAAGCGATTTGTTAGCATGTAAACTCGTAACAAGCAGCGTACGGAGCCACCTAAAGCAAGTCAAAGGCCCTGATTCTGGATTGACTTTATGAGTCAGAGATATTATGATTTTTTTTTCGCCGACCCATTTACAGGGCACATTGTCCACCCTTGACCGCACAAGAGAACGGTTACGGTGGAGAATACTTCAGTGTCTCCACCCCAGTTGGGATTAGGCAAAACTTTCAGTGCAATGAGAACAACCAGCCATCTCATCTTCAGCGAAGAGATTATCAGAGTTTGTTGTCAAATATGTCGCCAAGGAAACGAGCATGTATTTCATTTTTTAACGTAAACTTTCTGCACAAGCAAAAATAGATCTGGCTGTGATGAAAGTTTGTGGTGGAAGATGGCGTGATTCCAAGGAAACAAGCTTGCCTTTTAGTAATTAACTTGTTCTGGTTATTTCTTCCACTGAGGGTATTTATATTAAACGCCCCCATGGACACAGTTGAGAGCGTTTATTAGGCGGATTTCCAGCCTTGCCTGTCAGGGCCAACCCCGGCTGTGAAAGATACAACATTTCAGGAGACAGACTGAGATATTCAATAAAAAATTGTATCTCCACTAGGGAATCGAACTCGTGTCTCCTGCTTATGACAGCGAAACACCCAACCCTGACAACACAGACACCAGTTTATTCAGATTGGCTATTTCATCTTGAAAAAGGGTTCATCAAGAGGGCAAGACATCAAGGGGCATCAACAGACAAAGAGACAACTCACGGCAGAGAAGGAGAAGCGCGAAGAGCAGTCCCATGATGCAGGCTCGGACACAGGAAGTCGACTGACTTGCAAAGGTGGCGTTTACGATCTTATCAATGCCCTTAGATGTTCTCAGGAACTTAGAAGGTTGTTTTGCTTTTCAAGGTGACAAGTCAGTTGGCAAATTTTGAAAACAATTTTTTTTTCAGATAACGTTTACTTGACATTAGAAGACAGGTTGCCCTTTAAAAAAACGAAACACAAACAAACAAACAATGGCAGCTACTAAGATCCGTTTCTTTTATTCTTTTCCTAAATAAAAAAGAAATGTTCTTATCGGGCGCAGCCTTGCTCCCAGTACATCTGAATGTATTTTCCGGCGTCAAGCTTCCAGCTTCCTACAAACTGATAAGAAAACGGTTAGGTCAAAGTAAAGATACAGTACATACATTGAACTGGATCCCCTTTTCTCAAACCACATACACATACGCACAGC